TGGGATGCAGTAAGTCTATAGACTTAATTGTGAAGAATGGACATATTTACAGGAATGACTCACTGTATAAGCAAAGTATAATCCCCCTTCACTTATATAGGTCTTCAACTTAGAACTGATAATGGTTTTGAGTTTCCTTAAAAATTTTTGTCACATTTATTCTTAGACATTTGATGTTTGGGGTTTTCATTTAGTTCAACATTATTCTAAATTTCTTTTGAGTTTTCTTCCATGACCCACCTGTTACTTAAAATTTTGCTGTTTAACCTCCATGTATATGTAAATTTTTGATTTATCTTTTTGTTATTGATTTCTAGTTTAAATCCACTGTAGCCTGAAAGCAGATATTGTATGATTTATATTCTTGTAAGTTGGCCAGGGAGATAGCTCAGTAGAATAATAGCTTGCCTGGCAAGGGCAGGGTCCTGAGTTCAATCCCTGGTACAGAAAAAAAAATAGTAATAATAATATTCTTGTAAGTTGTTATAATGTGTTTTATGGCCCAGAATGTGGTTTTTGTGAATGTTTCATGTGCGTCTGAGATGAATGTGTGTTTTGCTGTTATTAGATGAGATATCCTATAGATGTTCATTATGTCCAGTTGATACTGCTGGTGAACTGTGTCCTTACTGTTTTCTGCCTGAGAATCTCCATTTCTGATAGACGTGTATGTTTCAATCTGGGTAATTTCTATAGATCTGTCTTCAAGTCTTATGGTCTTTTCTCAGTTTCCAAGCCTACTGATGAGCCTGACAAAGGCATTCATCAACTGTTGTTATGTTTTTCATTGTATTATTTTCATTTCATTCTAATAGTTTTCATCTCTGCTAATATTCCTTTTCCGTTTGTTAATGTTCTCTATTGTGATAGGGCCTTTAACTTATTAATCACAATTACTTAAAATCCCTGTCTCATAGATCCAACATCTGGACCATACAAGTCTGGTCTGTTGATTGCTCTGCCTCTTAATCATTTGTTGTTTTTCTCTTGCTTCTTTGTGTGCCCTATAATTTTTGGTTGAAAATAGTAGAACAATAGAGACTTAGCCAAATAATACTTATACCTAGAAATGGCCATGTTTCTTCTTTTCTTAGGCATTTAGTTCAAGAGAGAAGATTAAGTTAACCTAGTTACTGTGGAGCTGGGGCTCAGATTTGCTGTTGCTATGGTTATGCACACACAACACAGGCTTCAAATTCCTCTTGCAGCATCGGGTATAGATTGGCCAGAAGGTTCTTTGTCAATGCCTCTGCTCCACCCTCAGACTTAGAGCTTTTCTTTGTGACTGCACGTTAAAGAATGTCTCTTCATAAGCTTTCTTTTCCCCTACAACAGACCACTATTATCCAAAATTGTCTCTTTTTTTTTTTTTTTTTTTAAATTTAGGGAAGGGTCTACAGTGTGTTCTGGGTCTCACTACTAGATTGGACTTGTAGTGATCTGCCTGTTTACAGCCTCCCAAGTGCTAGGATTACAGGCGCAGGCCACCATGTCCAGTCTCAAGTGCTGTCTCAGTGCACCCTGGGGGCAGGGCCAGCACGGCAAGCCCTGCGATCGATCCCCTGGCCCCTGCACCTGCTTGTAGGCACTTTAATTCGCTGAGTTATTTGGCCAGCCCTATCCAAAACTTTCTAACCTGGTGGTGAAAGACAGCTGAAAAACACTCTGAGACTCAACCTCAGCTGTAAACTGAACTTTAGTCTGCGTCCCAGGGTCTTAGGGGGAAAGTTCTCAGTGATCCTACCCCTGCCTCAACTGTGGGGGATGCTGAATGCTTCAGTATATGTTCCTATCCCTCCCCCTAGGACATAAGGTTTATTTTTCATCTGTTCTCCATGCTACAACAAACTCTCACCTATGCCTCAGAGTTGATAGGGTTTGTATTCCCTTCCTAAATAGCTTTAAAGCAAATTTGCTTTGTTTTGTTTTATTTTGCCTAGAATAGCAGGCAGAGTTTATTCTAAGAGTTAATGCTGTTTCTTCCTCTAGAATGAGCCATTAGGAAAGCTTTTATACTCTTCAAAAGGGACAGGCGGGGTATGGTGACAGAGGTCTGTAATCTCAGCACTGAGGAGGCTGAGGCAGGAGGATCACTGGCATTTGAGGCCAGCTTGAATTTCATAGAAGAAACCCTGTCTCAAACAGACAAAACAAAATCAAGTTTGACTTATCTCTAATTCTTTCTTCAGCCTGGTTTTCCTTTTTCCTATGTTCCAAAGTGGATTCTCTAAAAGCCTTCCCAAATGCCTGTACATTCTCTTCCATGACCTGAAGATCTGAGTTCTACTACATTTTCCTGTGATATGCTAACAGGCATGCCTTCTCAGAACCTCTTTAATACTCACGTTTGATTTTCACTGTATGTGGTAGCCCTCTACCATACTCTATGATTCAGGTTTATGATCATTTCCTACATCTTAACGATGAAAGAGTGTGCATTTCTCCTTTTTCCTTTGTCATTCACAGAAAAGGAGAAATCTTTTTCTTTAATTAAAAATGATTTCTTTTATATTTGGCTTTCTGAGACAGGATCTCATTATGCAGGTGAGGCTGAACCTGAGCTCACCTTGTAGCTCAGGCTGGTCTCAAACTTGCAACAATCCTTCTGCCTCAGCCTCTCAAGTGCTGGGATTATAGGCATGTGTCACCACACCTGGCAAAAATGACATTTTTAAGACTAGAATTTAGGTAAAGGGATTTATTCTCTATTTGAACATTAGTATAAAATACATAGCAGAATAGAAATAATTTCAAAAACAAGAATTCAAAGGTATTACAGAACCACTAACAGATTTCCCGTGTAAAAAAATAGTAATAATAAAAAAGAAAAAAGTAATCAATGCATCATATCCTCAAATTTATATATTCAAATTCTAGTGTGACTGTATTTGGAAATGGACCCTTTATGGAACTTGTCTTAATACATTCAGGCTATTATAAAATATCTTAGGCTGAGTCATTTATAGACAACAGAAATTTACTGCCCACATTTACTGGCCAAACAATTTAAGACCAACACACTAGCAGAGTCAGTGTCTGCTGACAGCTTGCTCCACACTTCACAAATGGTGACTTCTTGCTATGACTTCACTAGGGGAAATAAGAAAACTCTCTCAGGTCTCTTTTCAACAAGCAATAATCCCCTTCATGAAGGTGAAGTTCTCAGCCTCTAACCATCTCTTAAAGCCCTCTACATCAGCCCTTCCTAGATCGGATTGGAGAATGGATGGATTTCAACACATGAATCTTTGGCAGTTAAAAACACTAAGATCATAGCAGATACAGTTAGGTTAAATCACAGGGTGCACCCCTGGCCCAAAGTAAGAAGCGATACTAGAAAACTCTCACACACGTGCACACACATGTGTTCATACACACACATTCACTCCTCCCTCCACCCCATCACATGTAATGCAAGGGCACAGCAAGAAGGCTGCTGTCTGTAAGAAGCAAGACCTAATCAGAAATTGCTCGTGCATACCGATCTCAAACTTTTAGTCTCCAGAACTGTAAAGAAATAAATTTACTTTGTTTAAACTATCCAATCTCCAATATCTTACCACGGTAGTCCAAAGCAGACTATACATAATAATTTCAGAGTCATTAATGTTTTTTTGTTGTTGTTGTTGTTCCTCAAATGCCTTCAGGGCACTTTTGGCCAGCTGGAGAGGTGTGAGGTTCGAACTCCAGCAACCTGAGTCTGACAGCTTTGTGGAAGCAGCCACTTAAAGGCCTGAGCTAGGGCCAGGCCCCCGGGTCATTAATGTTTTAAAAGGAAGTTTAGCCTGGTGCAGTGGTGCATGCCTGTAATTATAGCACTTTGGGAGGCAGAGGCAGGAGGATCACAAGCTGGAGTCCTGCCTGGGCAATTTAGCAAGATCCTATCTCAAAACAAAATGGACAGACAGACAACAGACAGACAGAAAAGGTGGTACTGAATCCAAGGCTTTTTCTCTGAGCTAGTTCCCCATTTCATTTTTAACTTTTGAGACAGAGTCTCACTAAGTTGCTAAATTATCCAGGGTGGGCTTGAATTTGCCACCTTCATGTCTCAGCTTTACAAAGTACCAGGATCACAGTGTGTGCTACCATGCCCATCTTAGATATAAATTATTAATAAAGTTTTGGGTATTTTCTTACATTCTAAAGTTATCACATAGATCAAACATGCTGTTCCTCAGTAAAGCATTAAACTGGGGTGTCATGGTATAAAACTGGGCTACAAAGGCCATTAATGTGACTGATACATGAAATATTTCTGTGCAATATAGGTTTAAGCAATTAACATTGCTGGGAAGAAACAAAAAACAATCGCTGAAATTACCTTCAGTAAGTAAATCAAGAGTCATAAAATGCAACAAAGTACAAGAAATTCAACAGGTCCCCCCCCCCCCATGAAAAGGTTTTTGTTTGTTGTTTGTCTGTTGAGTCAGTCAGGGTCTTGCTATGCAGCCCAGGTGGCCTTGTCTGTTGAGTCAGTCAGGGTCTTGCTATGCAGCCCAGGTGGCCTTGAACTTGGGGCAATCCTGCCTCAGCCTCCCAAGTGCCAGGATTATAGGTATGTGCCACAATGCTCAGGTATTAAGAAGGACTTTTGACCAAAAACAAAAGAGTACTTATAAAACAGTCAGAAAGGTAAATACTATTTTGAGGTATCAAAAAAAAATACAAACCAAAAAGGATTTTAGAATATGTCAAATTTTCTTGTCACACACATATAAGCACAGCACTTAGGAGACTGAGTCAAGAAGATTAGCGAACTTAAGACTACATAGTGAGTTCAAGGCCAATCTGAACTACACAGTGAGATCCTGTTTCAGCAAATAAAAACAAAGAATATGTCAAGTTTTTCTTAATGAGAGTAGCAGGAAGAAGAAAAAGGAAAAAGTATTTAAATGTTTTCAAATACCTCAACTTAAAATAACTCTAAATTCTCTAATAATTGCACAGTGATTAAAAAGGAAACAAGTAGAATCTGTAAGCAAATAATTATTTCTTACATGTTTAAATGCCCCATAGGGAACAGCTGTGGACCCTGTTTCTTCTAGATAATCTTCCCAGTTTAATTCCACTTCTTCCATACCAGATCCAGCATCTGGAATTAAAAACAAAGCAAAACAAAACAAAAATTGTCTCAATTAAAAAAAAAAAAAAAAAACCTCAAAGCAAAAGCCTGTAAAATTAGTAACCTAACTTACAGAACTTACTTCAGGACACGTTGTTGATTTTGCACAAAAGAATTACGTAGTTCTTTGTTGTTTTAATGGCAGGTTCCCACAATGCACTTACACCAATGCATCAGTGAATGCAGTAGTGGTTTGGCCTGTTATCTTTTGCTAAATAAACACCAAATCAGAAGTTCATTCAAATGGATTCAATTATTTCAATCACTGTGGACCACAATTTAGTATCCAGCACCAAATATTTAGTATATTCAAACTTAAATTTTTAATCTCATACTTTGTGAGTATTCTCTAACCAAGTACCCTAAATCAATACCTGAGCTCAATCCAAAACAAATGAAGTTATTATCACTGCTTTCCCCTCCATTTGTTTCACACTTTAAACCAAAACCATGAAAAAACTCCAGTTGCTATCTTTAAAACATACCCCAATCTATTTCTCACCCTGCCTAGTGATATCTCCAGTAGAAGGCTTATTCACAATAACATTCCCCATTCAATCATACTGAAGATTTAAAATCTTTGGGAAACTAAAATTGTCATACATGATATGACCCTTAGCCGTCTACTCTTCCACTTTATCCCCATCTACACTCTCACCAGCTTTAGGTGATAAAGAGATTCTTGCCACTCTTTGATCACACTCTTTCTGCAAATCCTCTACATTTACTGTGCTCTCAGTCCAAAATTTTATCTCCTAGTGGAGATCACACCTGCATCTCATTCAAGTCAGTCCTTAAATGTTGCATCTTCAGAAAGACCTTCCATCAGCACCCACCTAAATGGGGCTCTGCTTCCACTTTCTTCATGATATTCATTCTTATTTGACTGTACATCATGTATCTTTTTAACTTCCCTATGAGATTATAATCTCCACGAAGACAGAAATTTTGTTTTGGTCACTCCTCTTATCTCTATCACCTACACTCAAAGTACCTGGTATATAGTGGAAGTCTTCTTTCATAAGTGTGCTATTTAGATATGATTAAAAATGCAGTTAATGTTGCTACTGCACTCAGTGGAAAGCAGGCTTCTAAAAGAATTATGCTATGTCCTCATCCACAGGCTCCGGCGCTGCGTGACTTATGGCTCCTGCCCGAAGCCAAAAGGATCATGAAAGGCAAATATTTTGAATTGATTCAGGACACAGAGGCAGCCACAATAGTGCAAGTAAAGACACTCACCAGAGGACTTTCAGAACAGATTCAGAAAGTGGCACAAACAACAGAATAAGTGTGCTCAAAGCACGGGGGTGGGGGGATATTTTGAGAGGATTAACAGCAATATACCTTTTATTATAATATATTTTTACTTCAGATGCTATGAGTTCTGAGAATTTTTTTTATTTCAGAAAAGAATTTCGCTCTGAGTTCCTCTATAACTTTCTGCTGTTATTTACTATCGACACTATTAATTCATACATTTGAGCTGAGCTAGTAGAAAAGAATTCCGCTCTGAGCTCCTCTATGACTTTCTGCTGCTTCTTATTTACTATCGATGCTATTAATTCATACATTTGAGCTGAGCTAGTGTCCTCTGCACTTGTTCTGGGTGGGCATGGGGTTTCCTCCATATGTTTCTGCATTTGATTCTTTACTGCAGATGTTATTAATTCAGGGATTTCTTTTTTCATTTCCAATCTAAGTTCATCTATACATTTCTGCAGTGTTTCTTTATTTCAGAAGCCGTTGATTCATTGCTTTTCAGCTGTGTGATTCCCACTTTTGTTCTGTGTTAGTGTTCTCTACACTTGTTATGGGTGGGCTTGGGGTCTGAGATTGCATTTTGCTCCTTCTCGGTGTCATTTTGTGTAACATTGTCTTCTGACCTTTGTTGTAGATCTTTGTTGCAGTTATAGCCTTAGCACCTACTTAAATTCAGGTGTAGATCTACAAAGTTTGGATTTATCCAGCTGTGCCTGGCTTGGGTCTGGCTGCTGTGCTCAGTTCCTTCCTGTTGCTGCCCTTGGGGGTGAACCTGTTGTGCCCCTCTAGCAAGATGTTCTGCTTCTGGACTAGCTGGGTGGTTCCATCCCGTACACTCTCTGCAGGGACTGCAGCTGAAGGGTTTCACCCCAGGCCTGTATGCCAGGCCTGAGCTGAGTCTGGAGGGGACAAGGTGGAGTGGGGGGAGAGACAGCTCTCCCACACACTCACTGGGCCTGGACTAGGACTGGATCTGGGGGTTCCCAGAATGTGATAGAAATTCCTACTCAGCAGGCGGGGTGGGGGAGGTGCTGCAGAGTGGTGGGGGGGCGTCCCAAGGGGGTCTCACCCACGCTGCGCCTGGGCTGGGACCAGTAGGTCCCGCCAGCGCAGGGTAGCCGGAAGCTCTCCCACACACTCACCGGGCCTGGGCTAGGACTGGGTCTGGGGGTTCCCGGAATGCAGCATTAATTCCTACTCAGCGGGCGAGGTGGGGGAGGTGCTGCGGAGTGTTAGGGGGCATCCCAAGAGGGTGGAAGAGGGTCTCACCCACACTGTGCCTGGGCTGGGACCTACTGGTCCCAGCGCAGGCACAGGGTAGCTGGAATCTCTCCCACACACTCACCGGACCTGGGCTAGGACTGAGTCTCTATAATACATTTTTAAAAATTAAAACGTTCACTGTATTTTTCCATCAAACCTTCATATATTCTTGTAGAAGCATGGTTGGAACATTGCAAGTTCTCAATAAGCAGTTGAGTAAACTTTAGGGGGACCCATGCTTCCCATGAACACAAGAAGGCAAATATGAGTACTGTACATTCACCATCACACTATCTGTAATAATAACAGACTAGAAGCAATCAGAAAGAGCATAGATAAAGTGTTGTAATCCTTCAATGGAACACTATTACATATATAGGAGTCAAAAGGAATAAGCTAGCATTAACATAAATCTCAAAAACCATCAAGTAGAAAAGATAAGTGCAGAATGAAAAGCATAACTAGAAACAATTTAAGCTTCAAACTAAAACTGCAGTATAATGTTTATGAATACATACATTTTAGTAATATAAAACAACGAATAGAAGAATATGAATGAACTTCACCAATGTTACTTTTTGGAGGAAAAGGACAACAAGATTAGAAGGAAATACAAATAGTATCACTTCTTTTTTAAAAACGTGAAGAAAAAAATGCAAAGAAGTCCAATAATACTAATCATCTGGAAATACACATCAGAACCACAATGATATTGCATCTCACACACATTAGAATAGTTATTTCAAAAAAAGCAGACAATAAAAAGTATGTAGACAGGGCTGGTGAGATGGCTCAGTGGTCTAAAGCACCTACTTAGAACAAGCTTGGCAAAGCACAGGGACCGCGGTTCAATCCCCCAGCACCACATGCCAGCCCCACCCCCTGAGCTGGCCCCACCCACCCACACACACACATAAATAAATAAATAATTTTTTTAAAAAAAAAAGTATGTAGACAAATCAGAACCCTTGTGCATTGCTGTGGGAATGTAAAACTGTAGGAAACTATGGCAGGTTCTCAAAAACAGGGGTTTTTTTTAGAAATTATCACAGGATCCAGTAATTCCATTCCTGGGTACATGTCCAAAAGAAATGCAAGAAACTCAAACAGTATTAGTACATGAATGTTCCTAGCAACAATATTCATAGTAGTCAAAAGGTAAAAGAAACCTAAGTTTTCATCAACAGATGAATGGATAAACAAAATGTATGCACATAATAGAGCATTACTTGGCTTTAAAAGAAAATCCTGCTACATGCTATGACATGAATGAGACTGGAGGACAATATGTTAGATAAAATAAGGACATGACAAAAAAGTAAATGCTGTATGATTCTATTTATATAAGGTACCCAGAGTAGTTATTCTAGATCCAGAAAGTAGAATGGTAGAAAAAAGAACTAGGGAGATATTTAAAAAGAATGAAGTTCTACTTTAGAAAGATGAAATAAGATCTGGAGAAGAATGGTGGTGATGATTATATTACAACATGAGTATACTTAACGCCACCAAACAAAACAACTTTAAAATAGTTAATGTGGTAAAATTTATATTATGAACATTTTAGCATGAAAAATATAAGCAAATATTGGGCAATGTTACTATTTTCTAACTATTCAAGATACATGATAGTTTGTTATATTTTTCCCATTTTTTATGTACTTGAAATTTTTCACTAGGAATACAAGCTGACAAAAACTGCTTGGAGAACAGCCTAGAGGTACAGGCCAACAGAAGGCCAACTGCCATTACTCAAACATAAGTAGGCTGACTATTCATGGTCCTAGGGAAGGAACTGAATCCTTTAAGCAGAATGTTAATTTTAAAATAAAAAAATAACAATAAAATCTGTAAACTAATCAACCAAAATCTCTTACACGTTAAAAATTATTAAAACTGAGAATAAGAATAATGATCTGATGAGATAAGAAGCAAAACATATGAAAAGTTTACAAAAGAAATACAAAATAACAAATATATGAAAATACACAATTTTTCAATTTTTTAAAAATGTATTTCGTACAGGGTCTCACTACAATTTTTCACTTCAATAAAAATGTAAATTAAAACTACACTGAGGCACCAGATTGGACAGAACTTCAAAGTCTGAAAATATACTCTGTGTTGAAATTATAAAACAGGTAGCACACAGTCACACAACTCCTGTGGAAGTTTGGCATTATCTAGCAAAATCGCATATGTATTTACCTTTTGATCCAGCAATCCCACTTCTAGGAATCTATCCCAAAGATATGCTGGCAAAAATACAAAAAGACATATGTACAAATCTATTCCTTGCAGCACTATTTGTAATACCAAGACTGGAAGTAACCTAAGTGTTCATCAGTAAGAAACAAAAGCCAACTACACCTATAAGACAATGCTGAGAGGTAGTCACTTTTCTATGGGTCCTATTAGCAATAAAGCTACTTGCTGTAAGCAAT